TGTGATGGCTATGGTACGTTGTCATATTGTTCTTATTCAATAGTTTTATTGGTAGAATATGTATGAAGTACGGATTGTTTCACATATGCACATACATAATGATTGCTATTGTTATTGTTCTTACTATATATATTTCAATCTTTCAAGTGAAGTGTGTATGCACACTCCTTGCATGAGACATAACATATATAGAAGCATATGCTTGAGAGCGTAACGTATTTCCATTTAATTTGACATTCAGTTAAGTGTTAAAGGAATATGTAAAAGATGATCATAATCAATCACTTGAGTCTGAGGTAGCTGGCTGTTTAACATCTAGGGGAAAGATTATTTTCATTGTTGTCGTCGTCGTCGTCGTCGTCGTTTCTTAAGGGCGTTAAATAATATCAAAGAGTTATAGTAATATATTACTTTTTTTTCGTTAAGACTTAAGGAATAGAGCTTGAAGTTGATATAAGAAGAAGGCAAGTAAGGAAAATATTGTTACTTCTGCTATCAAGACTATTTCTAAAGACAATTTCCAAAGGGTACTAAGTTCAAATTCAATGTCTGTTTGGGACTGCGGGTTTTTGGGCATAGTGTTTTATTGAATTTGCTAAGATTTTTATGACGTGCTTGTCGGGAGAACAAAATTAAGTTCATTTTTGAATTTTATCCGTTTTAAAAACACAAAATTATATTATGTAATGATAATAAAGGGAATAGTTCCCATAGCGTCTGGAAGAGAGCTTACTTTGGATACGCGTGTAAAATGTTATTCACATGCTTCAGTACACTGACAGCTCCCCTTTGTCCGATGCTTTGTCAGCTAGAGTTAATTAAGTCTTTCAATTTCATTCTCAGAAGAAATTATCCCTTACTCTTTTATTTATACGGTAGATGCGCTCAGTGGAAAACCGTGCAAAAAAAGTAATAATGAATTCCATATTACACACCTAAAAGACAAAAACATGCCATTTCATTACAAAATTTTAAGTTTTAAACTAGGAATAAAAATCAATTGTCCAACGATTTATCGCTAGTTGATAACAAGTGTACATGTTTATTATGGATTGGACCAAAAGTGGTATCATTAATCAGATATGTCAGATTTGTGGGATGATTACTGGGTTTAGCAATGATTTCGTTCGTTATTAACGACCTCTGTTGGCTTTTCATTGTTATAACCGATTGGTTATCAGCACCTGCTGTATTGGTTTTTCAGATTGTTCACATAATTTTTGATAAGCAGATGTACAAAACTTAATTTTACATTCAAATTTGAATGCACGCTCCATATCAGGATAATGAGTAAGACTGTAGCGACTTTCAAGGCCTAAATCAGCCGTTAACAGCTGAACTTCACCTACGACTTTTGCTGTAAGTTCCTGTGAGACACTGCCAAAATTAGAAATAGAAAACTATTTTTTTTTTCGAATTCGTACTACAACAAGAAATTCGTGTAAAAAAAGTGTATTTGCTTTTATTGGTGTAAAAAAAGAGTGCGATGTAAATCGATTTTCTCTGTTATGCTGGTTACACGCTATCGAGGCTTTGTGCAAGGGGCAGAAACCTAAATATTAAATGAAAAAGCATCGGAACTCCCAGTCTTGCTTCATTCAGTAACTAAATACATTAATTAATAATTTCTAAAAAAAAAAAATAAATGAATATAATGCTTGAACATCCGCTTAAAAATGATCATTTCTAGGCCTTAATTTGGTTCTCATTATTTCTACTCTTATCCCTATTTAAAATCTAATATTTGCAATAACAATAAAAAGTTGTATCTGGTTGCCATTGACACATTTAGATAGTTTCGCCATTGTTTTGCTTTCTCAAACAGCAAACAAGCAAGCAATGCCTTGCTTTTTCATTAGTCACTTACAAATGTGAAAATCGTGTTGTTGATAGATTCGAGTTCTGTTCATTATTGCTTATTTCAATTTGGGTGGGTCAAGTGTACATGTGCTGGAGCTTGTGTGTGTGTGTGTGTGTGTGTGTGTGTGCATGCGTACACGCTACACAGGTTTCAGTAATGTAGAAAACGAAGACGCGCGAATAACTGGAAAAGAATGGGAAATGATTTAGAGTTTTTGAGTTACAATCAATAGGATAGTCTTAATATGCGCTCTTCTCAAAATGGCAAACATAATAGAATCAACAAAAAAGCTGCATAAGCCGTTAGGCGAGCCTCTGATGCCCACCGGCTCAGAAGGGTACCTATAAGGTATGGTTAAGTTCACTCAAAATTTCGCTTTATTACTTTTGGCATTTCTGATACATATTTCTGGGTTTTACAAATCCACGTATGCCCCTTCCCTTTCCATATACCATTTCAGTACAGGTTAAAATTCTCAAGTGCAATTGTTTATAACCTACATGATTACTAGTGCAAAGGTATATTGTTTGTACGTATGTGTATAAGATCCAGGATGACTTGACAATTACTTTGCAATATATCAATCGATTCAGAAACACTTTCTGCATCGATCTAAGCTTGTCTGTCTATCTTGTTGTTTTAGGTTCAACGTACAGGCCACAATTTTAGAGATATTTTGATTTATTGAATAATATTGAATAATAATTGAAACGGACAGGATCGGTCTTTTCCGATCGCTTCCCACATAATGCCTAATTTTGAAAAGTCGTTATATGAATAACTGTAGGATGCAGTAGGGTATTTAATGGCCGCCTGTGATCCACTGTAGTGTTTTCATTTGTTTAAAATAAAATATTATAATTTAAAAATTAGTTATTGTTATCACTGTTTAACGTAGTGTAATAATCATTACAATACTGTTTGAAACGTGGACCGATGCGGCAATGATACATATCCGTTCTCCCTCGTAAACACAAAAAACAAAGTGAAGTTTATTGAAAATTAGTAAAATTGTTAACGTGTACCGAAAGCGGTACATCTAACGTGACAAATGAAAACGGTGCACATGGTAGGATGTAGACGACGACTTTTTTTCTTTATTGTATAGCCAATCAATCAGAGTCACCGTCAAAAAGAAAAGAGGCAGGCAGGCGGCCGCAGTTTCGTGGATGCGTGCGAATATTATTTTCCGACCAAGCATTTACAATAGCCGCGAGCAAAACAAACGTTGCCGCGTAGATTGCTTGTCTTATCTACTCATAATATTAGTTTGGGGAAAAAGAAATCCATTATTTTTTCGGTAGATGGCTGCACTGATAGATTTCTCGTAAAGTATCGATCAAACAATTTCAGATTTATGCTCGTTGGAAAGGTGACATTTCGCAGTAAAAAAAATTCTTTTGCTATTTTTTGTTTGGTGCATTCAGTTGTGAGTTACAGCGTGTTAAAAATGGAAGTGAACAAAGAGAAAATTCGTTACATTTTACAGTTTTTCTTTGACAAAGGCGAAAATGCAAGCAAGGCGGCTAAAATTGTGAATGGTGTTTATGGTTCCGATACTGTAACAGCCAATTATGTGCAATTTTCGTTTCGTAGATTCCGTTCAGGAATTTTTGATGTTAAAGATGCACCTCGCACAGGTTGGCCGGTCGTCGAAAATGTCGATAAAATCGGAGAAATGATCGAAGTTGACCGGCATGTTAGCAGTCGTAACATCGCCCAGGAGCTAAAAATCGACCATAAAACAGTTTTAAAC